CTGGGTGGCTCAGTCGGTTAAGCGTCCGACTTCGGCTCAGGTCATGATCTCGCGGTCTGTGAGTTCGAGCCCCGCGTCGGGCTCTGTGCTGACAGCTCAGAGCCTGGAGCCTGCTTCGGATTCTGTGTCTTCCTCTCTCTCTGACCCTCCCCCGTTCATGCTCTGTCTCTCTCTGTCTCAAAAATAAATAAACGTTTAAAAAAATTTATAAAAATAAAAAATAAAAAATAAATAAAATAAGTAAATGCGAGGGCATGTCCACATAGGGTAATAGTAGGATCCTTGCACCTATAAACAGTGTCACTGTGAGTGTGTCAACTATGGTGGTGTGGACACAGGCATGCGGTGTGTGAGCCTCTCGCGCATCAAGCAGCCTTTCCATTGGTGACCCAACTGCCCCACAGGGTTAGCAATTCTAGATAAAGTTTCAAATCAACCGAAATTTCAGTCTTCCCTCAGTTTCCTTGGTAGTTCTGTTCTCAGAAACTTCAGTGTGTGTTCAAACCTCGCAAGAAAATATTTGGTGGTTCCTTCTAGCAGAGAATTGGGCTCTCCCTTCAGAGGATTACAGATAGGTGTTCACCTACAAGGATGTCTGGCAGAGCCCTCAAGAATCATATTGGACACAAAGAACGATTTCCTAGGGTGACCATCTTGTGCGTTCAATGGCGTGTCGTATCCCTGGCCTTCCCCCCTCTTAATGCTGCTGGTGCCCGTAATCATCGAGCTAATCAGGAATGTCTGCCAGGAGATAGCATGTCCCTTGTGAGGACCTGTAGTTCAGCTCTTCTGAACTGAAACACTTCCGTGTGCACAGTCACCTCTGGGTCCCTAGTCCATCCATTTCTGGGTTTTTTTTCCTCTCTTATTTAAATAATTTCTACTTGCCATTCTTACATTTATAAACCTGTTTGAAATTCTTTTGTCTTAAAAAGTTTTTTTTAATACTTCTTTTTATTTAAAAAATTTTTTTCAACGTTTTTTATTTATTTTGGGGACAGAGAGAGACAGAGCATGAACGGGGAAGGGGCAGAGAGAAAGGGAGACACAGAATCAGAAGCAGGCTCCAGGCTCTGAGCCATCAGCCCAGAGCCTGACGCGGGGCTCGAACTCACGGACCGTGAGATCGTGACCTGGCTGAAGTCGGACGCTTAACCGACTGCGCCACCCAGGCGCCCCAATACTTCTTTTTATTTTAAATTTAATGTTTATTTTTGAGAGAGAGAGAGAGAGAGACCGAGTGAGAGTGGGGGAGGAGGAGAGAGAGGGAGGGAGACACAGAATCCAAAGGAGGCTCCAGGCTCGGAGCTGTCAGCACAGAGCCTGACGCGGGGCTCGAACTCACAAACCGTGAGATCGTGACAGGAGCCAAAGTCGTACGTTTAACCGACTGAACCACCCAGGCGCCCCAAAGCATTTAAAAATTCTGTCTGCTGCCCCACTTTTGCTGACCTTGATCCCACCTTTATCTCTCACCTGGATTTTGCAATATTCTCTTACCTGGCCTCCTTCCCTTTAGTCTTGATGTCTTTGCCCCCACTCTGCCCAGGACACCAGAGGACAGATCAGATCTGGCTGTGCCTCTTCCCCGAACGTACTAGTAAGCTGAACATCCAGATGCCCTTCCATACAGTGTCTCATGGCCAGACCCACCGGCACATCTCCTCATACTTGAGAAGAACTTTTGAAATGTTAACATGTTGAAACCTAGTACTCAATGGGATGGTATTAGGAGGTAGGGCCTTTGAGAAGTGCTTTGGTCATGAGGGTGGACCTTCATGAATAGGCTGAGTGCCCATGTAAAAGGCACCCCAGAGAGCTCCCTCACTCCTTCCGTCATGTGAGGACCCAGCGACAAGATGGCTGTCTGTGAGCCAGGAAGCAGGTCCCCATCAGATACCAGATCTGCTGGCATCTTGATCTTGGACTTTCCATCCTCTAGAATATAAGAAACAAGTTTCCCTTGTTTATAAGCCACCAGCCTATGTTTAGTTGCTATGGCAACCCAAGCAAGCTAAGGCAACCACTTGTTGAGATGTGATTGACCTACAATAAACACGTCTTTAACAGCTTTATTGAGGTATAATTCACACACTGTACAATCCACCCATTGAAAATGTCCAATTCTGTAATTAGTGTGTTCGCAAACTTTCCACATACTTAAAATGTACGGGTTGGAGAATTTTGGCCTAGGTGCATATCCCATTTGTAATTTCTTTACCGCCTTCCTGGCAACCATTGGTCTGCTTTCTGTGCTATAAAGTTAACATTTCAAGAATTTTATAAAAACAAGATCATACAGTATGTACTTCTTCTTTCTTTGTTTTTGTTCTGGCTTCTTCATTCTGTCTCTACATATATATGTATCCATAGGATTCGTTGGATAATTTTTTTCAAAGCGTGTTGGCTTTACGATGAGACCTTCTGTTTGTGTCACAGGGACCTCATACAGGGCTCGGCTCATTGTAGCTTCCCTGTAATGAATGTGAGGGCAGAGACAGGACTCCCCGGCCCACAAGAGGTATTGCTTCCCTAGGACTTGAAAAATAGAGCTCTATTTTCTGTTTAAGGAGAGCTGTCATTACAGTAATTGGTATTTGAAATTTATGGGTCAGAAACAATATGCGGCGGTAATATTTTTCTAAATGAAACGAACAACTGTCCTAATTCTTAAAAACATTCTTCAAACGTAGCAGGCAAAATAGAAGTGGAGTAAGAGGGACTTGTGAACTCCAAGGAAATTTAAAAATTTGTCTGCAGGCCCCCTGGCTGTCTTCACTTAATGATTTCAAGGGTTCCTGTCTGCGGATTTTAAGTACTCTTAAGCAAACTAGAATTACCATGCCTGCAATATTTCGTTTTTGCTGGTGAGTGGGGAAGGGCCAGTGTTGAGAAATGGATCTCAAGCGGCTTCTGAGACATTCCTGGTCGTCGGTGATGGCTGCAAGTTTTCCGTCCCCACACATAATTGTCAGTCTGATGCGGTTTTTACAGGTTCACAGGAGGGAGGCGGAAACATAAAAGAGCGAGCCGGTTTCCAGGACAGTAGTTCCTGGTAATAAGGGGACGGTAAAGAGGTTGAATTTCAAAGTCCGATTAGAAATCACAGCTATGGAATTCAGTGATTGTCACTGAGGCTTTAAAGCCTGTGGATTTGGCCTGCTGTGCACACAGTGGTTCTTGGTTTTTTAACCCAGAGCAAAATGGGCAGTGGGGCACGAAACATAAGCAGTGCCTTCTGGGGGACGTGAGTACGCTGGAATAATGCTCAGAATTAAGCGAGCTAAAAGAAAGCACCAGAATGTGGCCAGGCCCTAAAGCATTCATGGCCGGTCTCGTTCCAAAGCAAGGTGACTCCACCCATCACGAGCTGAACAGAGGCCTAGTAAAATCAATACGGTCGTGGTAAGATGAGGAGGTTTATGATTAAACCCCGGGACAAAGGGACCCGTGCGAGAATACAGTGTCACGTGGGGCTTCTCCAATTCTCATGTGCACGCGAGCCACCTGAGAGTCTTGTGAAAGCCGGGCTCTCATTCTGTAGGTCCGGGCTGGGGCCTGAGATGCTGCATTTGAGACCGGGGCCCAGGGTGGGGCACACACGGCCCTTCTTCAGGCCACACTTCGCATGGCAAATGCAAGCTTGAGTAGAGGGGCTGCTCTTCCGGCTTTGTGCCTGATCCTGAAAGTGTCCTCGAGAGCTCTCTGCCAAAGGAAGTCTGTGGTTGATAGTCCTTCCTGTTCGTCCCTGAAGGGTAACGGAAGTCGAATTCTGGTTTCTATCTTGTGCTTTACGAGAAAGAAGGGAGCGGAGCCGTTTCTTCATTAATGTCATCGTGAGCAATCACTTGAGAAAACTCTAGGTTGAGTTGTCTGTATTTGAGGGTTGGAAATGCTCCTGCCGTGTATCTTACTGATGCTCCTGATTACTGAAAGAAATTAAATTATATCCAGTGTGTTGCCTACGTGCATTTAGAGTAACAGTGTAAGATTCAAAAATAGAGTAACATTCGAAAAAATTTTTATTTATTTTTGAGAGAGAGAGAGAGAGAGTGAGTGAGCACAAGCGGGGGAGGGGCAGAGAGTGAGGGAGACACAGAATCGGAAGCAGGTTCCAGGCTCTGAGCTGTCAGCACAGAGCCTGACATGGGGCTTGAACTCACAGACCGTGAGATCATGACCTGAGCTGAAGTTGGACGCTTAACCGACTGAGCCACCCAGGTGCCCCCCCAAAAATTCTTAAGCAGAAGCTCTGTAACAATCACTTTTCTTTTCTTTTCTTTTCTTTTCTTTTCTTTTCTTTTCTTTTCTTTTCTAATGTTCATTTTTGAGAGAGAGAGAAAGACAGAGCACACATGGGGGAGGGGCAAAGAGAGAGGGAGACACAGAATCTGAACCAGGCTCCAGGCTCCGAGCTGTCAGCACAGAGCCCGATATGGGTCTCAAGCCCACGAACGCAAGATCGTGACCCGAGCTGAAGTTGGATGCTCAACCAACTGAGCCACCCAGGTGCCCCCAGAACAGTCACTTTTCTGGTTAAAACTTGAGAACAAAGACTGTCTGATTCGAGAACTATCCCAGCTTTGAGGTATTATCATGGTGGCATAAGACACAGATTTTGAAGCAAAACTCCTTGGATTCGAATCTTGTTCTCTACCTGCGTTCTGTAGGTGTCATTGGATTAAGTGAATTAACATTTGTAAAGCTCTTAGAACAGTACCTGGCACACATAGGAACTATGGAAATGCTTTTTGAGTATATCATTCAAATTAAGGTATGTATTAATGTCCTATCTTAGGGGCGCAGTGGTCTTCTGGAGTTCAGATGGCCTGTTTCTCTTTTTATGGACTAAGACGCATCCTACAAGACTTTCCCAGGAGGCAGCTGGGTCAGAGAGGAAGGGGATTTCCACCAGCAGACTGGGATCCCCCAAATAAATTCACACAACCGAGGGATTTCACTTACTCGGTTAGACTCACCCCTGTCCTTTGGTTTTGCAGTTGGTGATGTATATTGGCCAGATGGCCAAGGACATCCTGAAGTGGCCCCGCCCCTTCTCCCCTCCCGTCGTGAAACTGGAGAAGAGAGTGATTGCTGAGTATGGAATGCCATCTACCCACGCCATGGCGGCCACCACCATTTCCTTCACCCTCCTCATCTCTACGATGGACAGATACCAGGTGAGGCCGCCACCCATGCCGTGAGGTGGCAAAGAGAGGTTTTGCTTCAGAGTTGTCTTTTCTGAGGGGCTTTGAGGTTTATGAAATCGAGACTCGGGGGGACTGAAATGTATTGAGCCATCAGTGACAGTTTCTTCATAGAGAAAGGGACATATGGGTTAGCATCCAAGTCAGGCTGTGCCTCAGAGTGAAAGGCACACCCCCCGGTAATAACACCCCCCGCCCCCAACGAGCATGACATGGACTGCTCCCGACGAGACAGTACGTGATCGGTTTTCTCATCTTCTGCTTGCAGCGACGTGAGGAGCTTATGATCCTCGTACATGGTCCTCCAGGGCTGAGATGACTCCACCCGATAAATCCTCTTGCTAGACTCCCCAGGGCCCAGGGCAGGAAAGAGTCTGTGCCCCCCCGTTGGCTCCCAAGGATGCCTCTGCCCCTGGTTGGGGCTCAACCACTAGAAATAATGGCTCCGTGTTTTCTAGATTCCTCTCTAAATGACAAGAGATTAATAACTGTTGAAAACGGAAGAATTTCACTTCATTAATATCTGCTTAGATGCCGATTACACTCAGACCTTTCGAAAGTTACGTCAGTACGGCGGTCAAGTTTTGCTTTGCCTACCTGAGGAGTTTGGCTCCACGTTTGCGTTGAATTTAATAATTTTTCCCTTTTACTCTCTGGAAAATTTAGATTTCGTTAAACCTAGCAGTCATGTATGTAAACGACAGTGTCGTTTCGCCTTGTCCCTGCACCCTCGAAGCCCGTTCTGTGTTCTGCGTTGTGCAGAACTAGGGGGGGTCAGCCTGATGTAGTTGGACAAGGACAGGATTAGCACTGGATCCTGGCTCTCTGACTCTGGAGTCTTCTACCTGGTCACCTGGAGTCAGACCTCAGTTTCCCGGATGGGAAAGGGACAGGTCCCAGGAATATATCCAACCAGGTATAGTCTTCTGCCGTAACTTAGACATCACGCCAGGGTCAAAAGTGTGTGAGTTCTCCAGTACTGCCTGTCGGAATTAACTTAAGGCAGACTTCTGAGCTGCATCATATGCAGGGCACCTGCCCCAGCAGGACACGGTGGACCCAGGGCTGGTCCTCATCATCCAGAGAGGCCTGTGAGCTTGCTGACATTGCACAGGAAAAAAGCCTCAACTAGCAGCAGACTGCAAGAAAACAGCAACAAGAACCATTTATATACTCGTTTCAAGGCCACTTGGTCCTTCTTTAAAAACGCTTTTCAGCTCCCATGATGTAGCAGTTTTCAGCCTGAGTTGTTGCAGACTTCTTTCCTACTCAATTTTTTTTTTTTAGTTAAAAAATTCCTTTAATGTTTGTTTGTTTTTGAGAGAGAGAGGGACAGAGCACAGGTGGGAGAGGGGCAGAGAGAGAGGGAGACACAGAATGTGAAGCAGGTTCCAGGCTCCAAGCTGTCAGCACAGAGCCCGATGTGGGGCTCGAACTCACGAACCGTGAGATCATGACCTGAGCCACCCAGGTGCCCCTTCCTAGTCAATTTTTAATGATAAATATGTGTAGCTATTTGGGTTCTTTGCTGTAACATTTCTAAATATGGTTTCTTTATATGTGTTTAGGCTAATGCCCAAACTCTAACTTCTGAATGCATTAACTCATTACTTTTTAACACTTTTTCTTAAAATCTGAGACCCGGTTAATGATAAATGTTAAGAAAAGACGTACGACCATGTGTGATTGTATTCACGTCTTAAATCAGAAAGAATGTGTTGGGGGGACACCTGGGTGGCCCAGCTGGTTAAGCATCTGACTTCGGCTTAGGTCATGATCTTACGGTTCATGAGTGCGAGCCCTCCATCAGGCTTTGCGCTGATAGCATAAAGCCTGCTTCGGATTCTCTGTCTCCCTCTCTCTCTGCCTCTCCCCTGATAGCACTCTCTCTCTCTCAAAAATAAACATTAAAAAAAGAACAAAAAAGAATGTGTTGGGCTTGGAGATGGAAATTGTGGCTTCCAGTTCTGACTCTTACCCTTTACCGGCTGTGTGACCTTGGGCACAGTCTGCCTGTCTGAGCCCAGCTCCTATTGTGAGGATCAAATGGGATGATTAATGGGAAGGCATCTTTGTGCCAAAGTTCAATAGCGATGTAAGGGTTATCAAGTTTAAGGCTGTCTTCATTTGTGGAACGGACCTAATGATAGAGCCCACTTCGCAGAGTTGTGTGATGATTGACGGAGCAGGTGACTGTACAGAGCCTCACGTAATATCGACAGCTCTCTGTCGTCTTTACCTTTCTCACCGTGAAACCCCACAGGCGTCAGTGCTCGAAGCACATGGATTTTATCTCTACGTCTCTGTTTATGAGCAGAATATCTGCATGTTCCTTATATGACTCCGCATGAGCCGGATTCTTCCGCTCATGTTACCCACCAGCGAATGTTGAGATTCGTTGTTGAGATTCAATGAGATTCATCATTGGCTTCATTGTTACCCGCCAGCGAATGTTGAGATTTAGCGAAGTCTGGATTTTTGCCTTAACATCCGTATGTAAAGGTGCCCATTCTTCGCTTGGGCCCATTGCCCCTGGGCTTCCTTAAGGAGCCAGCTGTTGGCCAAATTTGACCACACAGCACTCGGTGGGGATGGAGCTGGTTGGACTTCCAGGTGATAGTACGGCCCATCCACCTTGCCCCTCGCTCAGCACTGTATACTTCATACATGTTACTCTATGGAGAAGAATAGGTCGAAATAAAAAACGATTTACTTCACTAAAACTGCCTTAAGGCCGAGTTCTAACGAAGTCTCGTTGGTATGTTTATAGTTTATATGTTGTGAAACTTCCTCCCAGCGCTATGGTCCTGGGCGCCCTCCCCTTTCCTTTGCTCCATTTTCCCACTTTTCAAATGGTTTTAGACCATCAGACTGCTGGTCTAGGGAAATGGAGATTGACTGCGGTGGCTATTAAGCCAGGATGCTCTCCTCCCACGGCGTCAAACTACGTGAGCATGGTCTAATCGCCTTGTTTTCTCTTCTCCCCCCGACAGTATCCCTTTGTTCTGGGGTTGTTGACGGCTGTGGTGTTTTCCACCTTGGTGTGTCTCAGCAGAGTCTACACTGGGATGCACACGGTCCTGGTAAGTCCCTGTGGGCAGGTCTTGGGGTGACTGTCCAAATAACACCGCGGCCAACGTGTCGGTGTGTTTTTCACGCCGCAAACTTCTACAGCTATTTGCATACGTGCTTGTACTTCCCATCAGGCCAGTGAGGTAAGTAATTATGATGTTGTGACTCTTGCGTAATAATAATAATGAATCACTAAGATAATATCCAGGGAGGGGCGCCTGGATGGCTCAGTTGATTAAGCATCGACTTTGGGTCAGGTCACGATCTCTCGGTTTGTGAGTTCGAGCCCCGTGTCAAACTCTGTGCTGGCAGCTCGGAGCCTGGAGCCTGCTTCGGATTCTGTGTCTCCCTCTCTCTCTGCACCTCCCTGACTCTTCATTCTGTCTCTCTCTCTCAAAACTAAAAACATTAAAAAAAATTTTTTAATAGAAAAATTAAAAAAGAAAGATAATATCGAGGAGGCTGAGCTGGGCTAGGCTCTCCTGATTTGAAAGAGTGGCTAGAATGACAACAGAGACTCAGCTCATTTCTTTTCATGCTGGTTTACCTGTGGTGCAGGAGCAACGCCCAGGGTCAAGGATGGGAGCGTGTGGATATGGCTTCCCACTTAGGTCCTTACAGAGACGGGCCTGGATTGTAAGGATCTCAGCTGCCCTCTCCAGGGAAAGGGTCCCGTCGGGTCAAAAGAGCCCAGAAGTATAGGCCTTGCTTCCTTTCCAGACTGCTCTGGGCTGGCGGTTGTGGTGACACAGAGAGACGCGTCTGCATTTAAAGGTTCGCCTACCCTTTTACCGAATTGCGTATGTTTCTAGGGCTGTGGCGGTTCACGCGGTTACAATGACCTCAGAGCTCTGTTTCCGGGTGTGCCGGCCAGCTGCCTTGAGTTCCAGAGCACGAGGCTGGCCATGGCTAACCACAGGGCACTATTTATCATCGTAATTGGCACAAGAAAGATTTCTCTAGAACGGAATGGGCCCTTGCTAATTGTGTTACTCTCCGTGTGACGCTCAAAAATTGTGTTAGCAGAAAATGGCTCTGAGGGAAAGGCCACCCTCCTGCCTGTCCTCCTGGTGTCTGGTGTTGGCCATCGCAAGAAGGGTGGCGGGGAGTGGGGGTGGGGG